AAATGTTGTCTGATTTCCTGCCAAAATTCAAGCAGTGTGTGGCCCTATTGGCACACCTCCATTCCACAAAAGTCGATTTTTCAATTGACTTTTGTCAAAGTAGGCAAACCGAAAATCGCTTGTTCACCCCTCAGATCTCAGCGAGCAGAAACGACTAGTCAGCTTAAGCAAAACATTCCTGTAAGATTGGCTTTAAGGGTTGTGTATAGCATGCACAGTAAACATCAAACACTGTACAGGCACATGGCCAACTGGCTTTACTAGTTTGCGCTGTATATATTTATGTTTATCTGTGCACTGTGTCTCTGTGCTGGTGACACAAATAATAGTAAAATGTCAGAACAGATGGCATTTGGAGTGTTTGTTGTTACAGCGGCCAGCATGTGACTGAATGTTGACAAACGATGGTATGTGCCAAGGGTAAGGTGACTGTGGAGATAAGACTGTCTGGCTGAAGCACAGCTGCAGAGCATTTGTCCTGATGTTTTGCCCATACATTATCCATGAATGCATATTTCTAACCAAATCTTACAGATCACAGTGCCTGTGCTGAACTGGATCTGGAAAAATTAGGAACAGTAGCACAGTAACTGCATAATTGAAGAGTTGTTGTGATCATTGTGTAGGAGACTTTCCCTCATACCCCCCAGTTTGGCTGCATTCACACCAGCGGCTGCGCTACAAGCCACTTGTGTGCGTTAGCAGTCACAGTGCCAATGTGTTGATCCCAGCATAGCGCACCACTTACCTTTTTTTGTTATAATTTTATTGAAATGTCACAAGTGACATTTCATTAGGTTCTATGGGCACAGTGCGGTGCCATGCGGTTGTGCTGTGTTGCGACCTGCTGTGCTGAAAAAAATTACTGCATGTCGTACTTCTTATCAGCACACACAGCTGCAACACTGCGGTGTGAACTGAGCCCATCTGTGGCAAGGCAAATTGCTTTGCTTTGTGTTGTAGCTGCCCTGAAAAAAGCAGCCAACGCATCTGGTGTGAATCCAGCCTTTGAAGCATAAACTGTAATTGCTTGTGTAGATGAGTGTTTTTTTCATTTATTTGATGTGCATTTTAAATATACATCAGATGCAAATCAGTAGATCCCCATTTACTCCAATGGTGCAGTGTAGATGATAGTTCAGTGCTTTACCTCCTTTGCAATCCTTTAAGCTCAGCATATTCTATAGAGATGTATTTCTGAATAGCAGGAAAAGCAGTTTGCTGCATTTTGCATTTGAGTGTATGCATTGTATTCACAAGCAAAAGGCAGGGTTTGACAACAACACCCATCTACACAAGCTCTAAAGCTGGCCTTAGACACAAGTCAACCATAGCAACCAATCCCATACGTATGGCCATCTACAGAAATACTCCAATGACCAATTTGTGAGGCAAAAACTGTTCACTTATTACTAATAAACCCCTCCCCCCCCCCCCCCCCCCCACTCTCGCCCCGTGCGACGGCCTG